GCCATATTATGTCATAAATCACCATCTATATAAGATTTTAAAATTCTCGAATGGAATACAAACACATCCGGGCGACCCATTAGTGCAGGGATCAATAGTACTGTGTGTTCCCTCTCGCCCCCATTGCCACAAAATATCTTATCGACGTTGCACTTTCGGTCTATAATTGCATACCGTTAAAGCGGACCGTTCCTATTTCTTCAATGCCTGCGACTCAAACAGATTATTATGCTTTATTGCCTTAATTTGTGCTCCGCGCATGGATGTGTATTATTGGAGTGTTACAGGCACGTGCAGCAGCCGTATTCCCATTGCCAGGGACAACAGCTCGCATCATTCGTTTATTATCCGTGTCACTGACTGCGTGCTTGCCGGTATAGCAGTGTCTTGCCTAGGCTGATGGGCGTTCTTGCAGAGGAATCCGCATTGTCGTTTTGTAATGGGTTTAGTATGGAAGCGCGAGATAATGATTATGAGAATTAGCGCATAATGTATCATTTACTATCTAGGCTATTACACTAATGCTGCAAGAGGGTGCCCGTTACGTCATGAATTGGTTTGGAAATTAAAGCTTTTAGCATTTGATTGTGTTGTATCAATAGGATTATTGTGCAAAATATGGCTTCCTTTGGGGAGCGCGTAGTGTCAGTGTACACCGTTACCCTCAAATGACCTTGACGCCATCCTCTCTTACTGAGGGTCCGTCTTTAGACAGCAACAGCGCTATTGGTGCAGTTTTTCAGCACCAAAGTAAACGCTGATTGCTAGTGTAAAATGCTTGTAGATTATCATTTGACATGTTAGTAGGAAACCTGACTCCTGGCTCTTTTGAGTAGCTACTGCTTCCTGTCATTAAGGCTATGAAAGGATTAATTCACCCGATAAAAAAAAATAAATACAAAATCTTCTACTCACCCTCTTGTCGTTGACCTATCTTGACTTTATTTCATCTGTGAACACAAAAGGATAAATGATTAATAACAGTCTGGTGACTCTTGTACATTACAACTAACAGAACTTGAGCTTTAAAGGAATAGCTCACCCAAAAATGATCCAGAAATGGCCATCCAAGATGCAGATGAATTTGTTTCTTCATGTGAACAGATTTAGAGAAATTGAGCATTTCATCACTTGTTTATCAATGGATCCTCTGTAGTGAATGGGTGCCATCAGAGCGAGAGTTCAAACAGCTGATAAAAACATCACAATAATCAACAATTAATCCACATGACTCCAGTCCAATTATTGTATTGTGATGTAAAAAGCTGCATGTTTGTAATAAACAAATCCATCAGTAAGATGTTTTTAACTTAAACGGTTCCTTCCGTCTTAAATACAAGTCCTCATAATATTGCTTTCTCTAGTGAAAAAGTCATCTCATCTGAATCAGGAGAGAAATACATACAGATCACTCACTGTTTACAAGTGAAAACAGTCCAAAACAAATATGTTTGTAGATTTTGAGGTGAGAGGACAACTGAATGGACTTGAAGTGACCTTCACAATAGTACTTAAATACTTACTTTCAATTGTATAAATGCCTTAATGATTTATTTGTTTCTTACAAACATCTTTTCGGTTCATAAGACCTTAACTGATGGACTAGATTCGTGTGGATTATTTGTGATTACTGTGTAATGTTTTTAACAGCTGTTTGAACTCTCATTCTGACGGCACCTATTCACTGTAGGGGATCTATTTGTGAGTAAGTGATGTAATGCTAAATTTCTCCAAATCTGTTCCAATGAAGAAACAAACGTATCGACATCTTAAACTATTAATGTAAAGCTAAAAAAAGATGCAAACGTCTCATAAAAGCCATCCAAATATTTGAAGTCTTCTGAATCCATGCAATGGCTTTGTGTGAGCGACAAACAGACCGAACAGTCATTATTCACTGATTATTTTCCACTCAAATGGGTTGTGAACAACTACAGCTAGATCATTGAGTAAACTGGAGAACCAGATCAATCCACTCCATGAACAAGTCATTCAATGGATAAACTGATTCATTGATAAGATCCGACTCAAAAGAACATTTGTTCATGAATTGTGCATTGCTGCTTGTCTCATGAATGCGCCAAGGGAAGTTACAGTGATAGTTAAGATTATGAGGGAATACAGTGATAGTCAAGATTTTGACTTAAAATTTGAAAAAAAAGATTTGGAATATATTATACAGTATAGTATTCAAGTCATATTAATTACTTTGACAACATTTTAATTTTTGGGTGAATTATTCTGTTTAAAATTTCTGCTTGAGGGATTCACTATCTATAAAAAACATTATGAGAATTAAATAGAGTATAGGTACTTCTGAACATATATGAGAAAACTTTATCATCCAGTGGATAGTGACTGTGGAGAGAAAGGGCATGTATAAAGCCTCTCTTTGTCAGAGAAACCAATCAATAGTTTTTCCATTTGTTGAGAAATGTGTGTTTATATAGACACTCTCAGTAAAGAGAGTGAAAGTGAGGGAACCACAGAACTGTCTGCCTCCCTTTCCCACACATCTGTCTTGGCTCAATATGTCCATTACATTAATGGCGCCTGAAACGTGTCATTTTAACCCAGATTTAATTTCATACCTTGGTTGTTTTGTAGTCAAATACTGTCTCTCTATCTAGGATGATCCTGAGAGGTTTCATTTAATACATTTACAAGATCATGCTGATCAAATATTTATCATTTATTTATATTTATAAGAGTTTAAAAAAAAGTTGTGTGTTGAGCACTGATAAGCTAAATTACTAAAA